CCCCATGCCCTTTCCCTGTAACTGAAATTTGTTAATTGGATTAATAGTTCCTTCTACTCCACTTTCTGTCTCTGGTTTGTTGTCTGTCTTTCTTGCTTGTAGCCTCTTGGCCTCTTGGTCATGTTCCATCTTGCTGATATACTCTGCCTTTCACTTGCCTCCTTCATCTTCTCTCACTTATCTTGTTTTTTGTCTTCCTCTCTCTTTCTCTGTCTTGCCCATTCTTTGGATCATTCAAAAGAGCAGTCATTTGATTTTTTTTATAACACAAATATAGTTCTGTTTCACACAAATTAATGTAAGATCCGAAGAACACTTCAGAATAGACATGACATGAATAGATGCCTCTGGAGTAGCCAGGTTTTGGTCAGTTCTTGTGGAGAATAAGGAAGATGACCTTGATGACGACTGGCCAAATTCACTATCAACAAGATGAGGGGAAAACATGACTTAAATCCAAAATAAGCAGAAGGAACTGGAAAGGAGCTCAGGAGGAGACCTCTCTAATTCACATACTGTAAGTATAGGGGTGGGGGAGTAAAGCATAATTGGGACTACAAAAACAACAGAGTTGGAAGGAACTTTGGAAGTCTCCTAGTCTAATCCTCTGCTCAAGCAGGAGGCCCTATACCAGTGATGGCAAATCTTTTCGGCACCGAGTGCTTAAACCAGCATGTGCAAGCTCTGTGGGCATGCACGCCGTCACCAGCTGCTCTTTGGGTTTCCGGCGCACGCATGCGCACTTGTCAGCTGGTCTTCTCACACACTGGAGCACCAGAAACCCGAAGACCAGCTGGCTGGCGTGCATGCACATGCCAGAAACCCAGAGACCAGCTGGCAATGGCACGTGTGCCCACAGAGAGGGGTCTGTGTGCCACTTCTGGCACGCGTGCCATAGGTTCGCCATCACGGCCCTATACCATTTCAGACAAATGGTTCTCCAATCTCTTCTTAAAAACCTCCAGTGATGGAGCACCTACAACTGCTGAAAGCAAGCCGTTCCATTGATTAATCGTCAGGAAATGTCTCCTTATTTCTAGATTGGTTCCCTCTTTGATTAGTTTCCATTGTTTCTTGTTCTGACTTCCCTTACTATGGCCAATCTTAATACAAGTAATTCTAATCTTCCTATGGAGTTGATTTCTTAGTCTGGTTTATGCAGTAGGGCAAATATTTCTGCAGCCTAAGCCAAAATGGCCATGTACAGTAAGGGAGGGGAGGTTTTTAAAAAAAATTAGATTAGATTAACAGAGTTGGAAGGGACCTTATAGGTCATCTAGTCCAACCCCCCCCCAAAAGCAGGAGACCCTGGCCTACACCATTTCTGACAAATGGCAGTCCAATCTCTTCTTGAAAGCCTCCAGTGATGAAGCTCCCACAACTTCTGAAGGTAAGTTGTTCCTGTTGGGTGTTGGGAGGGCTTACACAGCTTAAAATGACCAATAAAAGCTGAGCACATCCTGTGTCAATGATAGATTCCAGACTGCGTCAATGGCAAAAATTGGCTAGGGAGAAGAGGAAAAACACTATTTTTAAACTGGAACAGATGGAAAAGATCTAATCTGCTATGGATTGGTATCGGGAAGAAGGCAACTTCATGAGGACATGTCATTTAAAATTATTACAACTGGAGCCTTTCACAATACCAATTAGGTTGGGATCTTAGCAGGGGTTATTCAAAGGTTTATGTGTTCAAGCTGTCCAAACCTGAAATTATATTTAATAATTAATAACGAATCAATACATGTTATTAAATGGTATTTAAAACTAATTATATACAAGACAATCAATAAGTAGCTGACAACTTACAGTGAATTTAGCACAAAGAATATTTGAGGGAAGCAATCAGGTAAGAGGCAGTAAATAATCTACAGAGAATTTAATACATTCAATTCAGTGAGAGAAAAACAAAGACTGAGTTAAAAAAAACACCGGTTAACTTTAATGAAGCATACACAGAGTTCAGCTATAGCTGCAGAAAGCAATGAATGAATGAATGAATGAATGAATGAATGAATGAATGAATAAGTAAATAAATAAATAAATAAATAAATAAATAAATAAAGTTAAAGCTCCTTGATCCAGCAACTAAGGAGAAAAGGTTTCAAATTTCTTGTCACTCAAATAAGGGAAAATATTGTAACATTCCCACTCACATGCACATCTTTTTTTGAGCAAGTTGTGGGACACAACTTAACTTGCCAAAGAAGGAAGAGGTTGCCTTCTTAAGTAACTAAATTGAGAAAGGATTTCTGGTTTAAGAAGCAGGAAACAATACTTTTCTTTTGCTGCACTGGAATATATTTCCTGACATGTGATGAAGACACTTTAGATTCTTTCAGATTAAAAAGGAAATAAAACTAAGGAAAAGAGTTGTTTAACTGAACAAGAATTTCTCCTCCATCCTGAATACTGTATTTGAGAAACATTTTTACACTTTTCTTGGGGAAATTAGCAAATTAAAATAAACCAAAACCAGCTTCTCACATAGGATTTGAAAAAATAAACATTAAATGGCAAGCCAAAAGGGTGGGGGGGTTCTCCCTTCTTTTTCCTGGGCTGAAAGGAAGAGGGGAAAAGATGGAGAGTCTTTAACATGATGATGCGATTCAAGGTGTTGGTCATCACCTTTAAAGCGCTCCATGGCACAGGACCTGGGTACCTTCGAGACCGACTTCTGCCACCAATAGCCTCCCACCGGCCAGTTCGCTCCCACAGAGAGGGTCTCCTCAGGGTGCCATCAGCCAAGTTATGTCGGCTGGCGACACCCAGGGGGAGGGCCTTCTCTGTGGGAGCCCCAGCCCTGTGGAATGAACTGCCCCCGGAAATACGTAAGATCTCCGACCTCCGGGTGTTTCGCTGCGGACTGAAGACCCTGTTGTTCCGCCAGGCTGGGCTATCAATATAATAATTTTAAATTGGGGTATTTTAAATTTTTTGGGGTTTTAAAGTGGCCAAATCTATTTAATTATTTTAATTTTTAATCATTGTTGTGTCTTGTGCTTTTAAATTGGCTGTACACCGCCCCAAGTCCTTCGGGAGAAGGGCGGTATAGAAATAAAATTATTATTATTATTATTATTATGATGATGAGAAGAAGGAGATTGTTCAGGATGATCCCAAACAAAGGGAACTGTTCGATCAGCAGCAGCTGGAGATGATAAATTGAACCACAGGATTATTAATCATCTAATGTCTGTTTTCTTAATGTTTGGCATTAGAACCTTGTAGCTATCTAGTTACAAATCTTACTTAGTAACTAAAGGTAGTCCTTTACTTATGGTGCAATTAGGACTAGAATTTCTGTTGCTAAGCAAGACTGTTATTAAGTGAGTCATGCCCAATTTTATGACCTTTGGTACCATTTTGAGTGGTCACTAAACAAATGGTTGTAAATTGAGGATTGCCTATAGTACAGTTTTTGCCCTTTAAGCATATCTTCAAATTGACATATGTCACTCAAAGGGTAGGGGGGGGAAACTTCCAGGAAGGCAGGTGTGAGCAGAGTCTGAGAATTCTTGCTAAAGCTTTGTATTTTTGCCAAGCAAGATGGCAAAATTGTTGCCGTCTTTTAAATTGTTGTCTATCTTTACCCAACATATCTGGAAGGTTCCTGTCAAATTCCCTTTCTAAAAATTTCTCTCTGCAGCAGAGAGAGCTAATGCTGTACCCAAGAAGTAGCTTTCAGCAAGACCTCATTAGTTTGGCTAAAATATTATGGGCCATCACTATCTCCATTCCTATTTCTTTAATGTTTTTCTTGTTGTAGGAAAGGATGAGAAGGAAAGTAATTAAGGGTAGATAGAAAGTAAACTAACATGCATCAAATTGGGAATATTAAAGGAATATTGGAAGGATGATAAAAAAACTATCTTTAGAAGGAGTTTAAAAATGAATCTAAAATTACAAAAATACAACAAAAAAGTGTATAAGTTATATGATGGAAGAAGCAGGGATATATATAATATATAATGGAGTCCAGCGGCATCAGCTTTGGTTAAAAACTTTTCTTCTGGGAATGAACAAAATTTAGGCAGAAAATGTGGACATTTGCTTAATACCTTACTTAATGCATGCAAATATCCTTCTTTTTTATTTATTTATTTATTTTTATTTATTATTATATTTATATGCCGCCCTTCTCCCATAGGACTCAGGGCGACTCACAGAATAAAAACAATAAAATTTTGAGATTTCTCAATGTTTTTTCAATGTTTACCACTGTCTTTTATTACTGTAATTCAACAATCAGCTATGCAAATAGGGAGATTGAGAGGGTATTTAAAGAAAATTCAAATTTCCTCTCATTTTATTTCTGGCTTGGCAACAGTCAAACTCACAGCTGAGCTAAAGAGAACAAATCATCTTTGTGCTATAGTTAGATGAACGTGAGGATAAATGCAAAAGTAGCCCACCTTGTCACTAAACCCAGTGTTTGACTGTACAATGTTTATTTGTAGTATTAGTAGTATATCCTGTGCTTCATTCAGGAGTTTGAGGCAGCATACATAATGCTCCCTCAGCTTGTTCTCTACAACAACCCAGTGAGGTAGGATGGGCTAAAAGAGAGTGGGTAGCCTGGAACTTCAGTCATGTATATAATGGAGGCAGAAGGGGACAAGCAGGGCGAAGTAGATTTTGCTCAGTTGTGGTGGCAGTGTGTAGCTTTGCCCCAGATACCATTTCTGAAAGATTAAAAACAAGATGCTGTCAATGGCAGTTTCCCTTGTAATATTTCCACATGTGTTGCTGCTTGGAATCCGGGCAAACAATATATCGCCGGCTTCACAATATTGAATCGGGAAGGGTGAGGGGGGACTCGCTTTTTCTTATTAGAAACGGCACCATAAGATTAATCGACCAGGCCTCGTTTCACCCAATGCCCCAGAACAGCCTTCAGCAACTAAATCTCTCGCAGTTGGGGCATCGCAAACAAATGGGCGGCGGGGGTGCGGGGGGCGTGAGAGTCGATGGGGGCGGGGGCGGGGGCGATTCTGGCGGATGGGTTGATGGTAGAAAGACAAGCGCTCCGCTGATCGAGCAAGAAGCGCCGGAGAAAGCAATGCGGTGGAAGGCCAAGCCGTGGTGGGACTCGGGGGCTATTATTGGAAAACTGCTCTTCTCCCTCCCGCGCTGTTCCGCCGAGGCTTCCCCCTCCCCGCATCCCAAACCCAGCCTCCCGAGCCAGAGAGGAAAAGATCGGGCTGGGTAACAACAATGCGAGGGGCTCGGGCGGGGGATTTGATCTGAAGTAACTTGCCCCGGCGGCTGCCGCCCAGGGAGCCTTGATTGACGTAGACCTGCTGGAAGCGGCGCATCCATCACCAGGCTGAGCCACAGCAGAAGTCACCGGCTGCTCCTGCAGGAACACAAAGGCGTGCGGGTAGCTGGGAGGCTCTCGGCTACCGGCGGCCGCCCAGCTTCACCTTTCCTCTGGCAAGTAGCTCTGCATTCCGCCGCCCCCCCCCGCCGCCCTCCCCGAAGAGACCGGCGAGGAGGACACGCCGCCTCCACGCCCTGATGCCTGGACCACCATTGCGGAAAGGGGGAAAAGGGGAGCGGACGGGAGAGAAGAGGGGAGCCCTGAGCCCACAGGCCCGTCCTTGATCGATCGGCTGCTCCTTTCTGACCGCCGCTGCCTCTTTTTGCCTCCCATCCGAAGGAGTTGCTGCCTCGGCTGATGGATGCCGGAAGGTGCCGCATTGCCTGGTGTATGTTGGTTGGCTTTTTGGCTGGTAGGCATTACTTGGCTGTTCCTTTTTGTCTCTGAATGCCTTTCTTCCGGCGGATGGCTGGGATCTCCGCGAGGCGACCAGACCTGCTCCGTCAGTGAGTGAAAAGGACCCAGATTTCACCCCCGGCCTCTCCCCGCTCTTTCCCACCCCACCCCGCTTTTCTATAGGCGACGGAGAGGGACAGACGGCAGCCTTGCTGGTACTAGATGAGGTCACTATGTAAGTGGACAAGTGGGTGGAAAGACGTGGTAGAGGAATCCATCCCCTGCTCCGGAGATTAAAAAGCTCTTTTGGGGGAGATGGTATCTGAAGAAGCAGCTAATTGATTAAAAACAATAATCCAATTTACCCAGCTGATCAGCACATGCCTCTTGAACCCTACCACGCATTGATTTTTAAATGCTATACAGGAATGGCTCAGAGAGAGTGAGGGAGGCAGGGGGGAAAAAAAACATCTTTACTGAAAGGTGGGAATTAGATCGTATTTATTGAAATTGCAGTTCTTTAGCTATTTCAGCAGCGGCAAGGTGAAGATCTCTAATTTGCAGGTAGAAGTGGGTGGGAAATATTAGCGTGTGCCTGTGGTGGAGGGAGTAATTACCTCAATCTCTTCTGCACTCCAGGCAAAGTCACTGTACGGCTGTTTGGCCTTGTTCTGGCTGGCATCATAATGCTGATCTGTATCTGCTGATCAAGGCATTTTATTTTAGTGGGGTGGTGTTGTTTTTCTTGCGCTCACCCGATTGTTTAAACCACAGACTGAATGAGAAGGAGGATGCTCTATTCTGTCTACTTGGGCCCTGTCAGAGCCATTATTTCTAGTCATCAACAGGCAATTGCTGCAGAAGGAGAGTAATTGGGTTCAATTTTATGTGAGTTATAGTTTCGCTGCAGCTTCAAGCTGTGGACAGATGTTGGAAGGGTGGGATTTGGAGCTGAGAAAGGAGAGCAGAGCAACAGTACAGTATGTGTGTGTGTAGTTAATTGGGGGATGGGAAGGGTAGATTGGAATTGAGGGGCATATATTAATTGAATCATATTAGGCATTAGTGTTGGAGAGATTGGTAGCAAAGAATTACCTAACTTGTTGGATACTAGAAATGGAAGGGAGAGTTTCATAGATCAAAACAAGAGACAGAATTTCAGGCTTTGTGGCAGTTTGGAGGTTTCACCCCTTCTTCTGTACTAGAAGAACCACTATCGGACCAAGTGGCACAATGACTCATTTGCAGGCAGGTCTGTCTCCAGAGACCCTGGAGAAGGCCCGATTGGAACTGAATGAGAACCCAGACACTCTGCACCAAGACATCCAAGAAGTTCGGGACATGGTGATCACCCGACCGGACATTGGCTTTCTACGCACAGATGATGCCTTTATCCTCCGCTTCTTGCGGGCCAGAAAGTTCCAGCATTTTGAAGCGTTTCGCTTGTTGGCCCAATACTTTGAGTATCGTCAGCAGAACCTTGATATGTTCAAGAGCTTCAAAGCCACTGATCCAGGCATCAAGCAAGCACTCAAGGATGGCTTCCCAGGAGGGTTGGCCAACCTTGACCATTATGGCAGGAAGATCCTGGTGCTGTTTGCTGCCAACTGGGACCAAAGCAGGTAAAGGTTTTAACTCATGGGGGGAAGGGGGGGGTAGGCTAAGATGCTCATCTGAATCCATCGTAGTACTACAGTCTATATGTTTGACATCATCATAATGGGTTCATATCACCTTTGATCTCAATGATATTCCATTCCAAACTTATGATAGGAATAAGAACATTTATTTGATTCTAATGTGCAGGAGCCAAACTGTTATATTTGTAATCTAATTCAGGGGGAAGGAGCTAGATTAATTTTTGAAAAGTTCTTCCCAAACTTGAAATTCTGGCAAAAAACCATGTGCACAGATCAGGTGTGCCTATGGAGCTTCAATCATAAGATGATGGTGAAAACAATGAATGGAAACTGATTTTAATAGAATCTTTCATCTAAAACTTTTTGGGGGGAAGATTGGTTTCTCATCAGTGACTAGTGAGAAGTTCATTCTCAATTACTCAGTTACACTTTCCTGGGACTTGAACAGCAGGTGCTAATGCAATTAGCAATTTGTCCCCTGACCCAATTTGCCAACTATTTGTTTATTCAAAATCTTTCTAACTTGCCCTAGATCCAACTGATTCCAGGCTAATAGACAACAACAGCAATAACATAATATTGAAACAAAAGTACAAGAATAAAAAACAATGGCAATGGCAAATTAAAAGACAACCAAGGATAAAGTTGGCAAGCAATTTAAGACAGTGGACAACAATCCTTGAAACTTCTAATTTGAAGTTGCAATGCTGGTGCCAGTTGGGTATCTCTGAGAAGTTCATTCTTGAATTATTCATTTTTTGATGCATCATATGGTACTTAGAACTGCCCATCTCCTTCATAGAGTGACTCTGGATGGCATACAAATAGTCACAAAAACATAAAAAACTATATATAAACATTACAATAAAACAGTTAAAAAATAAGAATTAAATAATTAAAATTCAAAAGGAAAGGGAAGGACTTCAGAGCCCCATGGCTGCGTGCTCCTGTGTTATCCCCAAGCGAGTTGGCAGAGCCAACTCTTCAAGCATTTCCAAAAGGCCAAGAGGGTGGAGGCCCCCACCTCATCTCTGGGGGAAGAATGTTCCAAAGGGCTGGGGCAATGGCAGAGAAGGCTTTCTTCCTGCCAGTTGAAAATTTTTAACTGGTGGGATCTGCAGCCTACCTTCCCTGCCTGATAGAGTGGGACGGTTCAATATAATGGGCCATAGATGACTTGTCAGGTGATCTGGCCTGTAGGGCTTTAAAAGTCATAACTAGCATCTTGAATTGGATCTGGAAGTAAACTGGCACCCAATGCAGCTTACACAGCAGAGGTGTTACATGCACCATCCTTGGGACGCCCGATATTGCTCATGTGATCGTAATCTGTACCAACTAAAGTCTCCAGGTACTTTTCAAGGGAAGATCCATGTAGAGCACATTTCAGTATTCCAGATAGGAATGAATCAGGGTGTGAGTGATAGAGCAAAGGGCCTGCTTATCGAGGAAGGGCCATAACGGATGCACAAGGTGCAGTTGAACAAAGATCCTCCTAGCCCCAACTGCCACCTGCTCTTCAAGCAAGAGCTGTGAATCCAAGAGGATGCCGAGATTGTGCACCAGGTCTGCCTGGGTAGTGCAATCCCATCTAAGACCAAAAATGATAAACTCCTAGGTACAGAGGGATTCCTCACCCACAGCCACTCCATCTGACCAGGGTTCTGCAGAAATCTCTGGTTCCCTATCCAGGCTCCCCACAGCTTCCAGGCATCCCAATTTAGATCTCAGCCATTGAGGCAAGAACAATGTGAGAGAAATAATGTCTTGACAATGTTGTTAACCCATGTTGCTGTTTTCTACTTTTCCAAATGAACTAGGTTTCCCAATGTTTAGCAACACCTATAAAATTTAAAGGCAAATTTACGTTTCTTCTTTCTTGGCAGATTCAGTATCAGCTTCTTTACCAGAAAACAGTAATATTAATATACAAGGATTTACCTATGAAACAGAAAAGTGATACACTCAAACCTGCTTTAATAAAATTTCCATTAATTTTAATGTCCCTCCAACATGATGCATTTTGTGAATGTCACAAAGCCTAAGGTCTGTCCAACTTTGAGTTAAAGAGTTCTGATCCATGAAGAAGACTTTTATGCCATCCTATCCTCACTTCTCATTGATGCATTTTACTTTACTTTCATTTATACTTCCTTGAAGGAGTTCAAGGCAGTATACATGGTTCTCCTCTTTTATTTTTTTACAATAGTCTCTTGAAGTAGGTAAGCACTTGAGGTTGGCTCAAGGTAGCTTGCTACTTGAAATGAAATGGTAAATGTCATGTTTTCCCTCTCCCCCACTTGCTCCCCATCAAGGATCACAATACGCCAGAATGATTGAATTAATAGGGCATTTGTGGGCCATAATGCTTGCTTCTTTCTTCTGAGAGGTCAATACTGTACAATCATAATAAATTAAATGCAGTAACTAACAAACAACATGCTGTCTTTCCTATCAAAAAGAGTCATTACCTGAAAGGATTGTCTGGAGTACCTACAGTAGATACAGAGTCTGTCTTGGAAGACTGAAAGGAAATGAATGTCTCATTTAGGGGTTTCATTATTGGATAGAAAAGCGAGGAAAGTTGCAATGCAGTGAGATAACCCACCCCTTTTGGACTGTATTGTGATGTCACATGCACAGGCAGTAGGGGTGGAGCTTATGGCACAATGCCACGATCAGTGGTGGGATTCAAATAATTTAACAACCAGGTCTCTGCCCTAATGACCAGCTGGGTAGGTGTGGCTCAGTGGTCATGTGACTGTGGGCGTGGCCAATTCAACATCACTCATGTCTATGTGTGAGGCGCCTTAGCTGTTACAATGTAATAAGGATTAACCACAGAGGCAGTTTCTATAAGCAGGGCAATAAAGATTAGGCTAGAAACAACACCAGAATGTTTCCTTCCTGCCTTCCTTACAGAATTAGCCATGTAAAGTGGAAAAAAACCAAAATAAGATTTCTTTTAACAACCGGTTCTCCCGAATAGGTGCGAACTGGCTGAATCCCACCACTGGCCACGATGTTGTTTTCATCATTCTGACACTTCTTGGCCTCATATCAGTGAAGAAAGTTTCATCTAGTGAAAACTTCAAGTTCCAGTGCCTGTGGCTGTGATTGGAGTAGTGATTTGAAACCAGGACAATCTAGACCAGGGTTGTCAAACTCCTAGCCCACAGGCCGGATGTGTCACACCCTGGCCATGCCCCTGCCTGGTTTAGCAAAGGGGGGGAAAAGTCCCAATACGTCATGTGGTGACGATGTGAGTTTGACACCCCTGTTCTAGACTGATCTTATAGTGTTTACACTGCTCAAATTACAATTTCTATTATAACTGCACACAATCCAGATGTTTCTTTATAGAACAGTTGTTCTTTTCTTTTGACCTTGCCTCACTTTATATTGGCATAGCATGGCTTTTGGGTGACCTGAATAGTGTATGAGTTCAAAAATAAGGTTCCACCTCCTCTGAAGTTGTAATCAGAATTAATTACCCCGAGTAATGCCCAACTTCAGATGCTGCATTCCTACATGGGACCTTTGTAGCAGGGTAAAACACATGGTATAAAAATAACTGTTGAATTGAACCTTTTCTTAATCATCATCATTTTGCTCAGGGGAATGCAATTGGGCTGCTATTTTACGAAGGGCAAGAAACCATTGTTGACAAAATACTAGTAGTTTGCACAAGTGTTGCACTCACTTTTTTGATCTAGTTTCTTGAAAAAGCAAGAACCGTGTCTCAGAGGCACAAAGTCTGCCAATGAAGTATCTTAAAACTGATTATGTGCCATCAAGTTGGTGCTGACTTTTAGTGACCACATAGGTCATCCATTATGATCTGTCCCTGGCCTGGTCTTTCATATCTTCCAGTGATATACACATTGAAGCTTTAACTATCTTAAAATATATTGATGCATTCCCAATAAAACAGTCTGCTAAAACGTAGTTTAGTCATGAGCAAGAGAAAGCTGATGGATTAAAAACAGAAAGGAAACCAGAACCAAAACAAATAAACAAAAAACTCATAGCAGGGAACTGAACTATCAACTCCAAGCAATGTGATTAGACTTCTGTAGTCCTGACAAGTTTAATCTGATTTCTACAGCATTTAGATTTCTTCCTCATGCTGATCCTATATCTGTCTGTCTTGGAATATTAGATAGGTGAAATTAGAGAATGTATCATATTGGCTTATTCCTCTGGAATGTCTCCTTTGCTGTGGATGGATATGCTTTAGCAATGCATTTTCAAAGAAAAAGTCAGGTCTACATATGTTAGGGCTTTGCCCTCTTAGCTTATCTGACATAAGTCTCTCCTTTTTTTCCTACATAAGTTGGAACAGCTCAGATGTTTCTGTTCCATCAGTTAACTTTTCCCAGTCTTTTCATGTCTAAGATAAAAGAAATGTGCTTGTCTGTAAATTTATTATGCATGCATAAATGTCTGTTGGGTCATAATTATACTGACGTGACTGTTGATTGTAAAAGAAATAAGAACCATGATATAGACAATCGATTGCTGCCACTATCAGCTTCTCATTTGAATAAGTCCAATTAGCAAATTCCTATTCCAATTAAGTTGGAAATAGATTTTGTAGAACGCTCCTGTCTCTCATAGATTCATACATAAATTGCAGACCATGTCCTTGTGCTAAACATTTAAAATTCAAGTTGAGTGGTAGGGAAAAAAATGTATCTTTGACATGGAAATCTATAAAAACGACACAAGAAATAGAATTCAACAGATTCTGTTTCTCTCATCAATACATCTGTATACTTTAAAAGCACAGCTGGGAATCTTCTAGGCTAAACAAAAATCTTAGAGAACTCTAAGGTGGAGTCCTTGGTGCTTTCTGAGCTTTGGTTGTTTGCTTGCAGATATTTTCATAACCCAATGAGGTAACATCATCAGCACTGATGATATTACATAGTCAGGTAATAAAATATCTGCAAGCAAACAATCAAGTCCATCAAGAACTCCATAGTTCAACAGCGAGCTACATATATTTTCTTCTAAAGAAATCTAAGTAGAAATCCTCACTTACCAAGGTTTATGTGTATAATAGTCACACAGCAGTGCTGTGCAAAGTTTTGATGAGATGCTTTGCTCTAATTGAGACACTCTGTAAGGTTATCATTATATTCTTCCTCGTAACTAGCCAGCCTCAGCAATCCCACTGCTTCGACTGCCGTAATAGTCATGAGCTAGGCAGGCAGTTCAGGCAGGACAGCCCTATCTCGAGATTTCTCATGGGGTCAGATGAGTGTTGTCTCTGCAGTACAAAGTGCCTAAGATAGAACACACCTTCTTCACACAGCCCTATTGCAGAACCCTGAGCAGAATATCCTACAATGTAATGCATCTAGATCAGGGGTGTCAAACTCAATTTCATTGAAGGCCACATCAGGATTGTGTTTGACTTCGGGGGGCTGGGTGGGTGTGGCCAGCTTGATGTCATTTGTGTCGGGGGCACCTGTGGTGGCCTGGACAGGGCTGGGGGGATCCTCCTGCAGCCCTCTGTCAGCGAAAATGGAACTTGTGGCCTTCCTGGGCTCCATTCTTGCTGGCAGAGGCACCACAGGCTGGTCCTTCGCTGTTTCCAGGGTGGCCCCGCAGGCCAGATCTAAGGCCGGATCCAGCCTCCGGGGCCTTGAGTTTGACACCTCTGATCTAGATGCTTCTCTTAACCATTTGTCCCACGTGATTGGAGAAGTCTATGCTTGCTTGCAGTATGATTGCTTAGTTCTTAAACCAAAACTATCAGTGCATGGTGTGAGAAAAAAATTTGTTTATCAGTTGGTTTGTTGCAGTGATTGACACTGATTTAAGGGCTGAGGAGGAACAATTGGCCCAAAGTCACTCAGCTGACTTCAGCGTTTAAGGGAGGACTAAAAAATGGTCTTCCTTGCTCCTATTGCACCACTTTAACCACCATACCATGTTGACTCTCAGCTGTCTACATCAGTGGTGGGTTGCTACCAGTTCTTCCTGGATCGGGCGAACCAGTAGCGGCGGTGGTGGGAAGCTCTGCCCACTCACCTGGACATCTCTGCGCATGCGCAGAGGCGTTGTGCATGAGCGTGCAAGCGCCCACAAGCAAACCAGTAGCGACAGATTTGAAAACCACTACTGGTCTACATCTCTATACAGTAGATAGAACACAGAAAGAGTATAATAAGTTATTTGAGATGAATGGTTCTGCTGGTGGGTAGCTTTAGTCCTAATGCTATTTCTGAAGAGAAAAATGGGTGCTGCTACTCAGGAGAATTTCTTTCACTCATTTTCTAACTTCAGTTAAAAGTTCTATGGAAAAGTAATAGACCATATAGTTTAGTGGGATCAGTATCTAGTTCAAAAGCCTTGCTGTTTTATTCCCTCCATGCAAAAATTTCATTCACTGATAAGATGAATAATAAATTCAATTAAGAATAATAATAAAGGTTAGGGTTAGTCTTTAGCCCCATTTCCACATGCCAGGTGTTCGGTGAGAAATATGAAAGGGGGTTTCTGTGTGAGTAAAGTTGTAGATGAGCACACAATTCAGACTCATGGTGCAAATCCATAAACCTCTCCTTTCCTCTTGCTGCTGAAAGGAAGAATGCTGCTGCCTCCTATTTTTCCCACAACCCTGTGAGGTAGGTTGGGCTGAGACTTGATAGAAATAAGTACTTGTTATTCTATTCCCAAGAGTAAAGATAAATAACACTAACATTACTAAAAGAGATTGATTTAAAGAAGTAAAATAAGGACATTCTAAACCCTTGATGGTGAACCTATGGCACGCTTGCCACACGTGGCACGCAGAGCCCTCTCTGCGGGCACGCAAGCCATCACCCCAGCTCAGCTCCACCCTGCATGTGCACGCGCCTCCCGCCGGCCAGCTGGGTTTCAGATCTCTGCCGCACATGCACGGGGTACATGTGGGAGACGCGCACACATGCACAGGGCCTCCACATATGCAAGGGTCGCCGTGCATGCGCAGAGGTGCACACGGGAGGGAGGGTTAGATGTGCACGTGTGGGGGGGTCGCGTGTGGGGGTTGTGCACACATTTCATTATAGGTGTGCGTGTGTGCTTTTGGCACTCGGTAGCAAAAAGGTTAGCCATCACTGTTCTAAACCAACTAGATTCTATGTTTAATCCCAGTTTGGAATTTAATCTGCCATTGAACAGAACTATGAAATCTAACAAAGGCTATCTGTTAAATGTTCTCATTTTTCCATTTGTATTGACATAACCTCATACTCCATCAATATAAATAATTCATAGTATAGTTGCACAGTTCTCTACATGCCTTTTCTGGAGTAAATTCTGCTGTGAGAATTTCAATAAGATTTACTGAACGTATGAAATGTCTGTAAAATTGCCCCTTGTATGAAATTTCATTTAAACCCACTTTGAATTTTGGAACTGAAAGAGGAACATTTTGCTTAATACTACATTTCCAGTTTGGTAATTGTATCTGTTTTCTTAAGGCATAAAGACTTTTAGAAATGGCATAAACAGAGGTTTTCTAACAGCATGTATACATAGGGGCATTAGACACTGTTAAATAAAGCAGAAATCCTAGATTATTCTTTAGGCATTAGTGATACACCATCAGGTTTACAGTGCGACCCAGGAGACGCTGTATGAAAGCTAAGTTTCACTGAAGTCAGCCGGATTTAATTTAGAGATTAATTTTGTTGATTGTTAGCACTAATCTTCTACATATTACTGCAAAGTCACGGTTCCCATTTTATCTTTTCACCCCTGGATATCTGCTACCACTTCTCTGACCAGATTTGAAGGAGGCAAAAACAGAATATAATTGTTCTACACTATGAACATTGTATTTTATCTAGCGCACTGTAGAGCTCACCTAGTGAGAACTTCTTTGGTAACATTTTCATATGATCTGATATGGAAAAATGCTGAATGCTTATTTTCAACATATTGAAACGGTAATTGAGAAATGCAGAAGAAAACATTCCAAACCTATTTCTTAGGTAAAGGAAAGAACCCCTACTGTAAAAAAAGCTGTTTTTAAGGATGCGAAACTGGTTTTCTAATAGTTTTCTTGGCAATATTCTATTTTGTTAGACATGGTACATGATATTACTAAATTATAAATCTGATAGTTGATTAAAATAAATACATTGATTGACGTTTTTGTAGATGGGTAAAACTATGACCAATGCTCAATTTTTATTAAGCTAGGTTGAAGGACCTGGATAAGAGCTCTGAACTGAGGTCTGGAGAAAAATTTTCAAGGACATTTCCCTTATTCCTGTTCGTGTGCAATATGCTAAATAAGTGGGGGGGTTTTGTTTCAAATTTATGCTACTTCTGTACATCTTGCTTACTGTAACTGAATTCACGAAAGTTAGTGGGTCAGATTGAACTAAGACTTGGATGTGAGAGGACAAGGAATTCTGGAGATATAAATTAAACTGGGAAGTTAAAAAATACATTGGGAGAATGTAGTGACAAACCACTTCCATAATATTGCCCCAAAATGTAATCATACAAAGTCAACATGTAGAGCTCTTTAATTTACTTTATTTAAAAGCATTCCATTTAGTATATTAGTTTTAGTTGTTTTGAAAACCAGACCACAGGGTTTTCAAATTCAGACTTAGAAACACTGAAAGCAAAATGAGGCGTTTCTTAAAATGGAAGCTCTGAAATTTTGTTAAACTTAAATATGTGGAAAGCTCTGTTATGAAAACTCCAGAACAGGCATGCATTTCAAGTCCTTAAGGTCTACTTCAAAATAGGTATATATTGTGATTCCGTGTTCAGTCAGAAAAATATAATGAAATCTGTCAGAAGATTGTGGAGGAACTTCAATTTTATATCTGCCTCCCACCACCACCTCTGTCCCTGTGCTGTCACCATAAATAACAATAAGGATGATTGGTTTCACATCTATCCATATCAATAAATGTTGTATATTACAGATCTACAATGAGTATGAAATAAACTTTTTTGTAAATAGTTCATCACTGGGCAAAGATTTTAATGCAGCTATTTTTATCATAATTTATTCTAGGCTGCCATTTTCATAATAAAATCGACCATTACAGTACCTATGATTACAGAATTGTAATCGTAGGTATTGCAATGGTCGATTTTATTATGAAAATAGCAACCTAGAATAAATTATGATGAAAGTAGCTGCATTAAAATCTTTGCCCAGTGATCAAAGACCACACACACACATACACACACACACACACACACACACACGTGTATATATATGTATGGCTAGTCTAGAGAATACCACATTCATATATGTACAGTATGTCATATGGCTAGTCTAATGAAAAGAAGAACTAGCAGTGACATGATAGCAGTTTTCCAATATTTGAAGGTCTGCCACAAAGAAGAGGGAGTCAAGCTATACTCCAAAGCATCTGAAGGCAGGGCAAGAAGCAGTGGATGGAAACTAATCAAGGAGAGAAGCAACCTAAAACTAAGGAGAAACTTCCTAACAGTGGAACAGCTTGCTCTCAGAAGTTGTCCATGCTTCATCACTGGAGGCTTTTAAGAAGAGACTGGACAGCCACTTGCCTGAAATGGTATAGCAGGGTTGTCAAACTGGCGGCCCTTGGGCCGGATGTGTCACGCACAAGCCAAGCCCACCCCGGCTCCACAAAGGTAAAAAACGGTGTGATACATCGTGATACATCACATGAAGCAATCGAGTTTGACACTCATGGTATAAGATCTCCTGCTTGCAGGAGTAGGGGGTTGGACTAGAAGACTTCCAAGGCCCCTTCCATCTCTCGTATTCTGTAAGCAGAATGTATTTTTACTGTTGGATCAATGATACTATAAAGTGTCTCGTAGATCAGATTGTATGCTGATTTCTATTTTAAAATTCTTTTACTAAGTTACATCAAACACTGAGTATAAACAAAATTAGCAACAAATCTCTTTTAGCCCTTTTAGCCCTTTTATGTCAAAATATTATGTGATTAAATATAGTATTGTCATCCAAAGTTAATTTCATATTTCTAGAGTTCTACATGATACAGTTATTTTGAAATTATATTTGTGTTCAGGTATTTGAAGGTATCTACCATAATCACCAAAAGTTTTTCTGAAAGTAAAACTATTGGGGGGAAAACATTGTTATCCAATGCAATTGGTACCAACATTTCTGATGTTACACTTGATCAATTGTTTTATGACAAATCCTGATGGGGATTTGCATTACTTTTTTCAATGCATAGAGAAATCTTGTTTATTTTTTAAGACCACTTTCTCTTTCTCCATCTTCCTCCCAGCAATGACTGAACTGATTATTCAAAGGCTGATTCATACAACCATTGAAAATGTGGTTTGTCACATTTTGGAGACTCCACAGGTTTTTGTGTTATCATGTTCAGTGATGCTGAAGGTAACATAAAGACATTCTGGATGAATATTGATTCTGATTATTGAACAAAATGTAATGCAGTTTGAGAGGAAGAAGTATTGAGTTGTTCTAATGATATTAGAGCTGGACCATATGGAACAATTACTATTATGATATGGTCTCATATGAATAGCTGCTGTTTAACTTTCCCAATCTTAACTCTATTAAACCTAAAGAAACATTATATGTATGTAGTTACAATAGCTACAGTAATCATATTTCATGAAATCTTTATCACCTGAAATCTGAAAATGTTGCCTAGTAATAGCAAAATAATGGCTTATCTTCTATCATCTGAACATTATTGGTTAGCTTAAGGCCATCTTTGCTTTTATCTGTTGACAGATACACACTGGTGGATATTTTACGTGCCATCCTTCTTTCGTTAGAGGCTATGATCGAGGACCCAGAACTTCAAGTAAATGGATTTGTTTTGATTATAGACTGGAGTAATTTCACTTTCAAACAGGCTTCTAAACTGACACCAAGTATGCTTCGATTAGCCATAGAAGGCCTTCAGGTAAAATTCTTTTAAGCATTATTTATATTTCTTTTATTCTTCTCGCTCCAGGCATCTCTCTTCAGTTCTTCCTGTTTCATGTCTTTAGTAATCTAACAATCTTTTTTTTTTTTTTTTGCAGTCTAACAATTGAGATTTTAGATGTCTATGTATATTGTGGAATTTGAGAATGAACTGTGAAGAATCAGTTTGATATCTAAATAGTTCTTCAAACTTACAATGCTCAAGATTTAAATGTCTTATTTGATTTCTCAAATTTAGGAGCTCTAAATTGTTATTAAGAGTTGGAATATAATAAAACAGGCCAGAAAGCAGTTATACTATTGGATTATATATCTTATGTTATTATTCTTGAAGTTCTTTGTACAGTGAAAGCTACCATCAAGTGCTATACATTATGGAACAGTGAAGATATTTATACATTGCTAGTAGTCCTATTCAGGCAATACATTCATGTATAGATCCTGAAATACAAAGAGCAATGATCGGCCTTTCCTTTTTTTTTAATAGAAGAAAAAATGAGAATAAATACAAAAGAAAAAAAGCCAGAAAGAATAGTATAACTACAAGATAAATTGTATGTGTTCATGTATAATTATAGGCTTTATGTATGTACACACAGACACGTGTATACATATATATATGTATATAATTATATATACATACAGTTTATATTTATATATGAACACATTTTTCTATAATAGTTTCTTTTATTGAAAACTATTTCTATTGAAAACTACTTCTATTGAAAACAATAAAAGATAACTATAAATATTTAGTTATTTTAAAAAAATATATAGGGCCACCTGTAAATTTCTTAAGCAACTAACAGATAGTTGTTATCAATAAAGGAGAATATTCGTAGCTCAGGGTTGAAATGAAGGATCCTTGGTGCTATATGAGCTTGGTTGTTTTTTTGCAGATGTTTCGTTACCCAAACTAGGTAAAATCATCAGTGCTAGTAAGGGTTACTCCAACAAGTAAGAAAAGTACAGGACTACTTCCGCCAACATTGACAGGGCAAGCCACTAGAATATAAACTGAGTGCAAACCCTATTCCTTACTAGCACTGATGATGTTACCTAGTTTGGGTAATAAGATATCAGCAAGAATACAATCAAGCTCCAAGACCATCAAGCACCCTTCAGATATTAGTTAACTATTTTTCATTGCAACTTTCCATGCATACTGTATGTCTGAGGGCAACTTGCAACATTGACTGATGTACAGAGGAGTGGGAATGACCTTGAGTAAAAGCCACTCTCAAGACAACCTTTGGGTAAAAAGCACCTCTGTTCAGGATAGGAATGTAACCTGAGAAAATGTCTCAGAAAACACCCTCCCTAGTTCTCATGAAGATAAAGGAAAGGAGAAGGGAAGCATTATTTCAAGATTTGTTACTGTGGCTTTACAATAAAAGTTGTACTATGTAATATCTACCTTGAAGGGATGACAAGTCTTCAGTCCATGGATAACTGAGGCCATAAACATGTTTCCTTTTTGTTGAAAGACTAATCTCTTGGCAATGATAAAGGGAAGGTGTTAGTTGTTCATAAGTAGAGTGTGGTTGCCCTTTGATGAAATGTGTCTCAGTCTTTAAAATAACTCTGGACAATATGGTTCTATATGGTGAAGGTTTAACATGTTATTTAAAAACTAAAATATAATGATGCCAAATGACTACACTGCACATTTTACTTTGGCATGATATAGTATGAAAAACCAGATTTCCTCAACTTGGCATTCTCTAAATGTGTTGCATTATGTTTGTATTATTCCCACATACCAGTGGGATGATGGGAGTTATAGTTCTTGGACAGAATACCACTGGTAGAAGAAAAATCCCCATGGTGAAACTGCATCCTTAATGCACTAGCCAAATATTGTTCTTTTACTGCAAACGGATTCTAAGGAAGGAAATGCTTCCTTCATACTTGAAGTAAAGAAATATTGTAAAACTTCTATGAAGCAAATTTATAAACCATCTGGATGAGCATTTATGTATTCTAATACTGATCACTTGAAGAGGATTTGCCAAAATGTTGCTTGTGACTTCTATAGAGCTCTGATGTAAAAAGCCTTTTCTCATACATGTTTTGTGGACAGTACCCAGCAGAAAGTTAGTAGATTGATAGTGTCTTCTTTTGCAAGATCAGTTTTGCCTTTTGCAGCATAGATATGCACAAATGTGTGCAATTTCTCTTTATGTATAAAAAGAATTGTTTTGCCGGCAAGGGTGTGTGCATGACTCATGATTATTCTTTTGTTCTATGTGCCATGGAGGTAAATGAAAGCTTCTGATTGGGAGGGATCTTTTTTCTACTTTCTAGGGTGGGATATCTTTTCTGGACAACAGTTCATTCTTTTTTTAAAAAAAAATGATTTATATGCCGCCCTTCTCCGGAGACTCAGGTAGCTTACAATGCGTTAAGCAATAGCCTTCATACTTTTGTATATTTATACAAAGTCAGCTTATTGGCCCCACAATCCGGGTCCTCATTTTACCTACCTTAGAAAGGATGGAAGGCTGAGTCAACCTTGAGCCTGGTGAGATTTGAACTTGCAGTAACTGCAGGCAGCTGATGTTAATAACAGTGCTTTAGTCTGCTGTGCCACCAGGGCTCTTGCCCCAACTCTACATTCCTGGAATATTTAAATATTAGGGTGGAGGGAGATAGTCCATTTCCTGACTGTCTGCAAAGTTAGGTGCAAGTATAGACAACATAGAATTAGAAGAAGAGACTTATTACAAAACTTTTTTTAAAAAAGAAAACTAACCTTTCAATGGGCTGACTAAGAGTTGTTTCAACATTTCCTGTCAGGTTGACCTCTTACTCCAGGGGAGATACTCAGTGGAAAGGGTTTCCATCTTGTGTGAGGAATCAAAAACAGAGCCATTCTACTTGAATACTTATATCCTCGGGGCCAGGGTGGATTCTACTTACCTTTAATACCGGTTCGCATGCGCAGATCACCTATGATGACGTCTGGGTTGGTGGGCGGAGCCTCCCGCCGGTTTTACTACTGGTTCTTGCGAGGCAACCCACCACTGCTCGGGGCAAATTATTGCTTTAATTCAATGATTAGGGTTAAAGCTAACAGATCTGGGCTACAAAAGTCTGTTTGGTCACTAGATGGATGGGCGGAAAGATTCAGAATTTAATGCAACCGTTGTCGCCATCTAGTAGACAGAAAGACTTTTGTAGCTTGTTTCTAATCTCATGGTTTTCTATCACTGGAACATCCAAAACTGTTCTGGATTTTGTTTTGTTCTGACTGAATCTCGTATTGTTTCATCGAGGTGAAGGCCAGTCTGGAATGGGTGATTGATACATTAGAACTGCAAAATTTTGTTTTGAATTGTCAGCAAAATACATTTTCTATTTCATGGACCCTTTAGCTATTAGCTACTATGAGGTAGTGATATGACTGGGGCCAGATAGAGGTAAGGTCAAGTAGTTCATCAGCTGTCACACTCTCAGCCTAACAAGGTTGTTATTGTAAGGATAAACATGAAGAGTGATCTCTCACACACTGCCTTTAACTCCTTAGAGGAAAAACAGAATACATAAATAAAACAAAAACTAAAATATTTATAAATGCACAAGAATTCTAGAAATAAATACTTCAAATAATAATATCAAACATTTCCCTCAAATATTGAACAACTGAAATAAACTATCTCTAAGACATTGATGCACCATCAGTGACACAGCATTAACAACAATTAAGATACTGAAGTCTTCTATTTCATTATCCATTAGTTATGTTTAAACTCCTGCCTCAAAAATACCTCCAAAGATGTGCCCTTTCATTTCCTATAATTTTAAAAAAGAAATAATTTCCACTATCAAATATCAATGAATCCTTTCAAAATTGTTTTTTGTATTGATACCTACTGATCAGGTGAATCCAACTGATTTCATTTATGATGTCTTCTCATTCACTAGCGTATTGTGAAGCTATGACCTTATATCTTAAAAGCCACTTGCCGGATCTGAGCAAAACACTGATGACAGGCAGAAAACAGAGGAAACATTTTATGTTGTTTCTTTGACACAGTGTTCAACATGTACACCAGAAGCTTGTCTATCTCTATACCAGGGCATGCTAGATAAATATTGCTGCATAAAACATAATGTTATCTTGATAAACTCATATACAATTCCGTCAGTTAATTTGAATTTGATTTGCCTCACAAGACTTTGCAGAGCTCAAAATGGCTGGTTGCATACAAAATACTACCATTCCTGGAAATTAATTGCTTTTATAGGAAAAGAAAAAGGAAACAGAAATTGTAACTGCCTCAGGATTATCAGAAGGAGGGAGAGATAGCTGTCTCCAGAGAAATTGCAGAGCCTGCAGAATAATTCAGACTGTTCAAGATTGGTACCAAAATATCTCGAAGCTTCAGAGGAAAATTGCAATGTTTTTATGAAATATTGTGAACTGCCTAAAATCAGTATTTATTATAGGTGGCTACATATAGATCCTGTAAGTAACCATCAGACTCAAAAACCAAGAAAGACATGTGTTGATTCTTTCAAGCTCTTTGTTGTTGTATACCTTCAGACCAGGGATGGGTTCTATTTACCTTTACTACCAGTTTGCAATGGAATCGTACACAAATGCTCGCTTCGCTTGCCCGTGCACCTTGCTTCTGCAAATGCGCAGAAGCTTCTGCGCATGCGCAGATCGCTGATGACGACATCTGGGGTGGTGGGCAGGGCCTCCCGCCAGTTTTACTACCGGTTCTTGTGAACCGGTCCGAACTGGGGACAACCCACCACTGCTTAGGACAGAATCTTACCAAACTGGAGCAGTCTGCTCTCTGCATCTACCATATACCATCTATAAGAATCTGAACTACTAATGGTTAAAGCAAATTGCTTGTAGCTAATAGTCAATGGAATTCAAGGTGGGCTGGACTTCTCTTGTGGGTGCAAAGGGGTTTGAGATGGATGATGCACTTAACCCTTTCCTCGGGGTCTGCCTGGTCA